CTATTAAATAAGTGACTATATTTTTAATTCTTATGTCGAATGACGGAAAGTTCATAGCTATTTAAATATTAGACGCAGCTTTTTATTATGTCATAAAATTTTGGCAGAGATCTTACAGCTCATACGTAAATGTAACGTCTTAAATGACACGAGTGAACTGTTTAAAGGGTTGAGAAGGTCCGATGATCCCGGGATTTGTTTAAGAGATACGTCGAATTGTCATAAACCTCTCAATTACAAATTGTTCTCGAAAGGATGCACGGACGGGCAACGAAGTCGAGGACCAACGATGATCTGCAGGGTCACTCAGTCACGCAGGGATATACGAAGATCGAAGATACGCTCGAAACGTGCATGCGTGCAACCGTAGTAAAGAACATGAGATCTTAACTGGTCGATCTCGTGACATATTCCGTTGGTCACCGTCCGCCCGTCCGTCCGTCCGTCCGTCCGTACGTACGTTCCGTTCGACCGTTCCGTTCCCTTGCCTCGGTTTGTCCGTCCGTGTCGCTCAGCGGGTGCCATCACCAGTTCTGCACCCTCGCATCCGTCAAAACGTTGACTCTTCTTTTATTACGCGGCCGGCCGCGTTATAAATTTCGATGAACGATGAGCCGACCGGTCGAACTAGAGAAAAAGGCTCCGTGCCTATCGTCTCGAGTAACCAATTACTCGTCCGGTGCGTGAAAATTCTGTACCGCATTAATGGTTCGACTATAATCCACGATTGCTAACCATTGTAAATACTGAAATCTTTGACGTTAAATTAATCGTTTGTTCATCTTCTCTGTTTCAGGTTTCGAGTCGCAGGTTCAAGATTCCAAAGACCTATACTGGTTCTAGAATCGAGCCGCGGAGTCTCGTGGTCCAAATTAAATCGTAACATCCCCTTGGTTGGCGCATCCGCGGGAGGACGAGGATGCGCGGTTAAAAACCGCGGGCAGCGTTCGGTCGAACGGCTGACGGAGCTGCTCGAACGGGCGTAGCGACCAAATGGCGAACGGGATTCCCGTGGAACGTTGTCGAGACGGGCGAGCGTGGCCGCGTACGAGGGCGAAACGTGATATTAGCGTGTTAGAGGATGATCCAGCCGTCGGTGTTCCCCGCGAAGTGAGAAGAAGGAACTTTTGTTATACGGCCGGGCGAACGAGCATTCGTTGAAACCGCGCCGCGCCGCGTGCTCGAGCGGAGTGTAAATAGTGTTACCTAATTTACTTTAAGGATCTACTATTAGCGTACGACTCAGTTAGTGTTTAGAGGAATAATTTGCGCGCACTATTACTACCTTCATAGTGACTGACGATTGTATGTCCGACCGGCCGCTGGAACAACGGAGCCTCTAGTTCGTATAGAATGTAGGGGATTTAGGCCAACGAAAGGCAAATTGTTTCGATTTTCCAAATAATTACAGGAGCGAGACTGTAGGAACTTCGACCTCGGTCGAGGCGCTCCTCTCACGAAGTGTACGTCCTCTTGGCTGTCAGGGATAATTAAAAGAAATCTATGTTCCTTGAATAATATCATCGATCTGTAGAGTGTATTTTCATTTCCCGAATATTTCTGAACGACATCGACTTACGTTCGTACGCGTTGCGTAACTTATTGAAGGAAAATAGACGCCGAAGAGGAGGAGACATTGACGGACTAATTATTTAGCGAAATCGGCCGCAACTTTAAGTGAAATATTTATTGACCAATGATCTTGCCATATATATATTATAAATATATATATACACTATTATTATTGTATCATAACACATCGGGCGCTGCAGAAAGTTCTGAAATCTCTCCAAATCGACAAATTAAATGATAGTTATCACCCGAATTGTCACTATTATTCTTTACACCCTTTCCCCATAGGGTAATCGATGACAAACACAAACACTTTTTTTGTGCACGCAGAAACGTGATTAACCAGCGAATTATTCTACTAAGCGCTTTCATCCATCGCGTATTCATCTCATGTTATCTTCATCATAGGTGTTAAATAAATGATACATTAATATTACGTTGTTGCATTTCTCAAGTTTCACCCAATAATACATTCTTTCATAAATCACCCAAAAGACGTACTTCCTTATTACATGAAGAGAAACCTTTTGTTTGTTAACAAAAATCTGAAGAACGATTTAAGTATTTACAATGAAATTGGAGCAGTAACGTTCGTAAAACGAACAACATTATTATGAATAATTACTTTGTTGAGAAAGAATTAAAATTGATTGTTAATATTTCTCTAAGACCTCGAAGAAAGTTGCCTTACAAAGCATCATTTTCATCAGAAGTCTAGAGTTCATTTGATAATCTAAATCATGCTAGGAATTCATCGTTTCACTCTTAATTTCCATGGTCCAGCTAGTCATCATGTACGCGATTAAATTAGATAATAATTTTAATTACGTGCATGAGATTACAAGTGGATTCCTCGAATTGGATTTTTCAACTTCAACTCTCCTAATCATTTTCTGGCCGAAGAACCTGAGAAACGCGCGATATCCTGTTCGCGTGGGCCGTGATTATGTTAATGACGTCGGAGATTAGAGATAAGCGCGGAACTGGAGTATGTCTGGTTGAGAAAATAGAATTTTATGCTTTTGCGGTTCGTTACGCCGCTACCGGTTAATTACACACCGGCGGATTTAGTGACTTCGCTCACGCCGGAAAGTTAATCGAGCACGTAATAAGAGGAAATAATGGGGAATTTAATCTTCCGGAATTCTACGCGGTACTTTTGCTTTCGTCTGCGTCTCAAGTGCTCTTATTGCACTTAATGTCATTCGTTGTTCAGATTGGCTTAAGAATATGCTCTTCATACCACATCTATTATATCACGATATAAAAATACTTATTTAGTGACAATTTCCAAGAACTCGTTCATTATTATCAGTAAATATTAATCGAGATTCTAACTTATTAAGCTAACAAGTCAAAAAAGGCTAGACTTAATTGAAGTTACAAATCGACGGAACATTTGGAATAATAAAGTGTGCGGTTAAACATGTGCTAGAATCGATAGACGATTTCCTTTACACGTGCGCCGTTCCCTACCGTCGTGAACGTTAACGAGATGAGAAAATGAGCAATTAACTTCGTCACCTAGGGGGAACGATCTGTCCGGGATTCGGAGGATCGTCTTTATCACGTGTAAAACACGTGTAGCCTGATTAGCCGTGCCACGAATGGAAATGGAGCGCGAGCCCGTGCACCGAAATTTTAACGAGATTGTCCGAGATATTTTCAGAAACAACGTCCTGTGGTCTTAAGAATTATTAGTAAGATTTATGAAAGATACTAGATAAAGACGTTTCAATCACTTTCTCAATAGAAACATTAATTATCTATGTATAACAATTTTTTATATAATCTTTTTTAGGAATACAACAATTTCGTAGAGGAAACTTTCATTCAAAGGAAGTCGATCTTCTCTTAACTCAACCTGATCCTTCATGTAACTGCATTCGCATGCAGCTCGTTTAATCGTTCCCACGCGAGCAGTCTGCCATTCCGTAATTTCGATAAACTGAAAGCGATCAAAGAGTTTCTGTTCGCACCGGTCCGACCTGGATACATCCATCCGCGGAATAATTCATTAATTGCTCGAGACAGTTGCCCGGTATGCGTCGATAAGTGGAAACAACAAAATCCACTTATCCTGTCGCGTAGAGGAAAGATCCGCGGCGTACCATTTCGATACTTTTCACGACTCGGCTCGGCGGCGATAATTCATCCCGTCACCGATAATTACCCCGTTTCGTAACGCGGTCCGAGCGAGGACGAGCGGAGCGCACCGCGCACGGGACGGCGTACATCTGGATGCGGCTCATAATCTCCCGATCGACGTGGATTCCAATAAACGGTAGCCGCTAGTAAATCTACCGAATAATAAAATAAATCGTTGGACGTCGTGAAGGGGCTAGTTCCGATCTACGGATAAGGGGAAAGCGAAAGATATATCGGCGGGGGAGGGACCAGGCCCGGGGGGTGGGGGAGGTAAGGGGAAGTTAGAATGGGAAATGATGAGATTTATTGCGTTGACCGAGGTGTTCCATCTTGTTTTAATTACCGAGGTCGCGTTGCTCGCCTCGGCCTTTGTGTCCCTTGGTTCACGTCGTTGTTCGTTCCACGTTTCCCCTCTCGCTTCTTCCTTCTTTTTTCTCTGCCGTTCGTTTCGTTGGACCGTGGACAGCAGCCGGAGAGATTAAAGGCGCAAGGTTACGTTTGACCGCGGTTCCTTGCTACGTGGACCCCTCGGCTTCCCTCGAACACCGATTTGAACTGGTACTCGGATGCTATCGGTTTGTTCTTTATAAAATACGCCTGTTACCTCCGGCCTGTGTTTCTTTAATTATGCTGAATTAATTATCAGAGGGAAACCCGAAGTACTGAACTCTATTCGAAAATAATAGTTATTTTTTATTATGTAAGTCTGAATATCCTCTGTCATAGGATTCTGTAAATAGTGTACATAAGATTCCATTTAACGATAACTCGTAGCACATTTTACATTCATATAATTATTTATACCATTACTAAATTTGTATTATAAGAGACTGCAAAATTTTATCAATTTATAGGAAAATTGTATGTACAGAAAATATAAAAAATTCATTCAATTCTTAAGGACAGGAATTATCAAAAGTAAAATACTTTCTCTGTTCGAAAATATGATGTACATTTATAAGAAAATCTTAAATTATCTAGAGTTTCGGAAGCAACTGAAATACTTATTATGTTGACAGGAGAGGGAAATTCCTATAAAATTCCTCATATAAATAAGGCAAAACCTCGACGTGAGGATCGATCAGCATAAAAGTGTATATGTTCAGAAGAAGCGTTCAACAAGGCTAAATTTCACTTTAACTAAATTTGGATTGCACTAAAATAATTTGTATTAATTATATTGTGATAATAAAATGAATTTAATATTTTCTTGTAAATATTTTCGGACGGAAGGAGTACATATCTGATGATTTTTAATAAATACTAAAGAAATTCCTATTTAGATTTCATTTTCTACATTGACATTACAAATGATTTATTTTGTATAAATATCTAAAGTCTGATAATGGGCATTATCATTATTGTACAGCTAACTGCATAAACTCTTATGATTATAATCACACGCTGAGCCATTAGCACGTACGAAATCCATCTAAATAATTTGAAGCTTCTGGGCACACGTGTGTCGCAATGGGCATGCAGTTTTTTCGCAGTTTCTCATGCATGCGTTCAATCGTGGTGTTCCGCTGTGCGTCGGAACGTCGACGGTGTCCCATACGAGGATCGCCGTTTCCGATGTCTGAACCGATGGATTCCACGGGCACAGGCGAACGGCTGTGCTCGGGCCGAACTGCATTTCGTCAGGCGAACAGCGGATAGGCCATCGCACCGTGAACATAAATCAGTCTGTTCCGTTTCTTCTGTTGCGCTGTATGATTTGTGTGTTTGGTTACGCAATCGTGCATATGCTCTGGCTAGACGTGGAAAAACCGAGAGCAGGAAACCACGTGAGAGCCACGTGAGAGCCAACACTACACAGCGGCTGACTTTCATATTCTCCTTTATCTTTACAAATTGTATTCATCGGTGAATGATTGAATGATTTCTGGAGAAGTATTCAATATCTGAAAAAATTCACACTCTTTTTAGCTTAAAATAGACACTGGTAGAACTATCTCACTCTGGAGGGCATTAAACAATTTATAACGAAACCGTCGTACACTTGTACGCGAATCGCCCCTCGATTCACGGTAATTAAATACCGAGTATCGTCCCCTTCTTGCAAGTGGCACCCTCGCGAAGGGGATACTATAGGAGCCGTAGGGTCAGGTTATTGATATTGCACCAGGGGAACAAATGATCCAACCGTGAATATGAATATTAATATTACTTCGGTAATCGCCAGTCCAATGCGTCGCACCCCAACATTTGTCACCATTGTAAACGATACCTGCAATAATCGAATCATAACGCTTCTCTGGGCTTCAACAATTGTCTAACAAGACATAATTGTTCGCTATTGAAGACAAATTATCAAATATCGAAATTTAATTAAATCCTTTCACTTGCTTCAGCATCATTTTCACTGTTCCTCAGTTTTATTAAATGAACTTGTAAACAGTGAAAGGGTTTGTTTCATCTGATGGTTTCAAAGCGTTTATCGGATATGAAATAAATCATAAACAAGGGGTGAAAGACCTCGGCTCGCTGTCAGGGCGCATAACTTCGCGGTCGGATCGCCATCGTGGATTATTATCAAAGGATGAAGGAGGCTCGAAAAGGTAGATCGGAAAGATCCGAACGTGAGCACCGATCGAATCCTATCGATCTCGATGACATAGTGACGCCGTGCTCGACAAAGACCTAAAAAACGTCTAGGCATGCCGACGGAAATATTTCGGCGGTGTCACCTCAGAGAGATACCTATCCTCCTTCCTTCCTTTTGTTCCTCATGCTTGTTCGTCTTCCATTAAACATCCGCCTTATTCGTTTCGAAACTGCTCTACGATCACAACTGAATCATTATTAAAATCCGCATTCCTGCCACATTATAATTTGCAATTTCTTATGTAATTTACAATTAACTTATTAATAATGAGTATTATTATTT